CGCGAGCCGCTTTTTGCTCTTCACAGAGCGAATGCGGTATCCATCGGGAAAACAACTTTTTTACACCTAATTGTTCATGCAAGATTATTTGTATTTGACTCATGCCAATGTCTAAAGTTGCCTGAATTTCGCGGTATGTCACATGTCGATCTTCCTCAATCAGCTTACGCACAGCATCTTACTTGGTGCGTCAGAACTCTCGAAAGATTCCACGCAGGATCCTCAAATGCTGTATACAACATTGTATCAGGTGACGAATCCTGGATATACGCGTACAAACCCGAAACAAAAAACCAGTCACGAGTTTGGGTGTTCGAAAATGAGTTAAAGCCAACAAAAATTGTTCGTTCACGGAGTGTTGCAAAAAAAATGGTGGCCACGTTTGTCTCCAAAATCGGCCATGTTACGACTATTCCTCTTAAGGGACAAAGAACGGTTAATGCAGAATGGTATGCTAGCATTTGTTTGCCACAGCTCGTTTCTGAACTCCGTAAAAAGAACTGCAACCGCCGCATCATCCTCCATCACGACAATGCGAGTTCTCACACCGCGCACAGAACAAAAGAGTTTTTAGAGCAAGAAAACATAGAATTATTAGACCATCCGCGGTACAGCCCCGACCTAAGCCCTAATGATTTCTATACTTTCCCTAAAATAAAGAATAAATTGCGTGGACAGAGATTTTCATCACCTGAAGAAGCTGTGGACGCCTACAAAACGACCATTTTGGAGACCCCAACTTCCGAATGGAATGGTTGCTTCAATGATTGGTTCCATCGTATGGAAAAATGTGTCAAATTTCGCGGAGAATACTTCGAAAAGCAATAAATACATTTTTAAATAGTAATGTTGTGTCACTTCGTTAATTCCCGAAACTTTCAGTGGCGCCCTCGTAGGCTCACAATATCTCCTACCACCAGTATGTCACAGATAGATCCTGTTTTGATGTTTGATATTCTGCACTCTTACCCTTTTAATTTCTAAGTTCTCAAATTTAAATCTTCTGATGATTTACTTGAAAGTATTTGTTTTACAGTTTTTTTTTTTAATTCCTTTATCAATGATTAATATATCGAGAGGTGAAAGGCTGTTTTGTTTAAGCGACATTTCGCTTAATATGCGACATTTATCTTTGCAATTAAAGGTGCATTTTATTTTATTTCGGATGTTTTTAATTGAACTTCAATTAAGTTTACTCCATTCAAATAGCCGAAGACGTATCTATATGACATTCGTTCCAAATTTTACCTTGAAATGGCTCTCCTGTAAAGTTGCAAAAATGTGGCTTAAATCAAACAGCCCTTCACTCCTCCTCCTCGATAAGTTTACACATATAGTTACACAATGGCAAAGCAGCGTACCCGATTTCCGGAAGGAGCCCTGCCTGGTGAAGGCGTGGCTGGCGGCGTCGATGCTCATGGAGACGGCGCACTCCTTGTCGCGGCGCTGCTTGCGCTCGAGGCAGGCCGCGAAGGCGCAGCCCACCGCGTGCGAGAGCCGCTCGCCGCTGTCGCGCGACGCCAGGAAACCGTGGCACATCCAACGGCGGGTGGTACCGTCGCGACAAATGTAACTGGAATTAAACACGTTACAATTGTTTTTTGGAACGAAGTTCCTTATGGGACGATGCGGAGGGGTACCGTAACCGGGAAAAAACGTCCGTAACGTAAGATTTTTAGTAATGCACACAGTGTACGACTTAACTTTGTAACCCACTACGTCAGCGGGCAATGTATATTACACACATAAAAACATTACTAAAAGTTAGTTTTCCAATTATATTTTCCTGGCTGATCGTATTTTATTACTGATGGTAGGACCTCTTGTGAGTCCGCACGGGTAGGTATTTCCGTAAATAGATTCCCCAGCGTTAAAAAAAAAAAAAAAAGGTATTTCCGCTTATTTCCCCGCTTATTTCTGCCGTAAAACAGTAATGCGTTTCGGTTTGAAGGGCGGGGCAGCCGTTGTAACTATACTGAGACCTTAGAACTTATATCCCAAGGTGGGTGGCGTATTTACATTGTAGATGGCTATGGGCTCCAGTAACCACTTAACACCAGGTGAGCTGTGAAGTCGTCCACCCATCTAAGTAATAATTTTTTTTTAACAATAAGTCGCAAAACTGAATATTTCGTTCTCTGTCTGACGTTGTAAATAGAAAACCGAACTAGCGTTATATTTACATAACAGCGATATTCGATGTAGAACACAAATATTTTGTGTCAACACAACATACCGCATGCACCATGCAGTATAAGTGCTGATATATTATTTACGTAAACGCGTTGTTTGATGTTACACCTAAAATAACCTTGTGCTAATAAATCTAGGGTTCTTTGACCTAGGCATACAGGCCTTGTTCCAATGACGGTTACGAAGCAGATATAGGTAGTATCAGACATTTTAAGATCAGTTTTTTAATACGCTTTTATTAGCTTCAGACGTATGTATGTTAGTATGTAACGGAATCTTTGAACACGACTTAGACCCCCTTCAAAACGTCGGGTTAACTCGAAATTTGGTTTACTTATTACGGACCGATGACAATTCAATATTAAAAGAAAATCTCACAAAAAAATAGAAAATAAATCTTAATAAATTTGAATTAAAAATAGTGTAAGATGATTTTCTGGTAAAAGCGTGGGGTGCATGGTATCAGTAGTTATAAATATTTTATGAACAGATATGAGTAGAAGGGTTATTTTGATAATATCCTGAAAAGCACCTTACGCTTTTTTTTACGCTTAGTGGGATTTTCTATAAAAGCGTATTTTGTTAGTTTTTTTAAACTATAATTTATTTCTTCAATAATAATATCGAGTGTTGTACTTTTCCCATTTCTGTAACATAAGGGCTCAAAAGATCTATTGTTCTTTGTATTCAAATTTTTTAATTCCGTGAAGCGTGTACGTCGTGCATAAATTCAGATGCGCATCACAATTGCGTCATACACATCAATAATCCGTACTTGGCATTCCGTGGGCGTAATTTAACTATTAAAATACCTTTTATCATTCGGTACCTACGCTTTATAATAAACAGTGAACGCAGAATGATATCAAAAGGAGCTATCATTGTACTTCTATATTGTGTTGGATTAATTCACAGCACACCTGATATAAAGTTTTTACACGATCCCAGACATAAGAATTGTAAATGCCGCCATCCTCCTCGAGACAAGAGTTTGAAAACTCAATTTTATTGTATACCGGCTGTTCGTTCTACTCTTTAAATTAGAACGCGGCAGATATAGGAAGAATAAAAATAATAAGAATAAAAAGAGAATTACCTAACATACTCGCGCGAGTTCACAATACTCTAGTCTCCACTACCATTTCGAATTTCACGAATTCGAATAGGGAAAAAAGGTGTTTAAATTTTAGTCTCATAATGATCTAATATAACTTGAATTGTAATTTTTTTAATTTATTTTTTTAATGTCTCTGTAGGCAGTCGAGCATACGGCCCACCTGATGGTAAGTGGTTACCGTCACTCATGGACGTCAGCAATGCCAGGAGCAGAGCCAAGCCGCTCCATACCAAAATCATCCAAGTATTATAACTAAAATCATACTTGAAAACAAGTTTTATAATGAGGACAAACGTCTTCCAAGAAAACATTACTCATGTTGAACTCTTGGTATGATTTTGTAAGAACTTGACGTAATCATTTTTATATAGTTTACTGTTTGTGAATTGTCGTTTTGTTCGTTATTTTATGAATCTTATGTTTTATACCTTCCCACAACGTAAGAGAGTACGAGGCAATTCACATTTCGTATGCTATTTGCACACAAACATTTGCCTGTAGTTATAACCATACTTAAATATTATGTAAGTCAGATTGCGAATTTAGTTAGAAAATTTAAATTTCGTGATAATAGGAGTTAATAGTAAACATAGTTTTCTTTACAATATCGTTGAATTTACAAATAGTCCTAAGGAAAAAAAACCAAACTAAGGAATACTAAATCATTATATTGTTAACTTGAAAATAAATTCCATAAATTTAAGCTAAAAATTAATATTAAATCGATCACACTCTATCCATTGTCTGACTATAACTAGTGACGTCACCCGGCCACGCTTCGCTGTAATAAATGAGTATCGCTTAGTGTATGAGAGACACTAATTTAATAAAACTACTCACCGTGCGTTTTTAGTACAATATTAAAAACCCTCCATGAATTGCTAAAAGTAACTAACAATTTTGAGTTATTTTTTTTTTATTGCTTAGATGGGTGGACGAACTCACAGCCCACCTATAAGTTCTAAGGTTTCAGTATAGTTACAATGGCTGCCCCGCCCTTTAAACCGAAACGCATTACTGCTTCACGGCAGAAATAAGCGGGGTGGTGGTACCTACCTGTCACAAGAGGTCCTACCATCTATGTATATAAAAATGAATTGCTGTTCGTTAGTCTCGCTAAGACCAGAGAACGGCTGGACCGATTTGGCTAATTTTGGTCTTGAATTATTTGTGGAAGTCCAGAGAAGGTTTAAAAGGTAGATAAATATGAAAATGCTTGGTATTAAATAAAAATAACAATTTTGTTTTTCCTTTGATGTGTCCCCCGTCGGACGGATTCCTTTTGTTTATTTTAAGTTCATTTTATATAAAAGTTTAGGTCTTTTACTTATCGATTGAGGCACTATCTGCCGGGTCAGCTAGTCAGTAATAAAATACGATCAGCCAATAAAATATAATTGGAAAACTAAACGGGATAAACGAAGCCCGTACGCATACATAGGCTGCAAACAAACAAACACTTATTTTTGTGTTTATTAGATAATTTTATGTATCAGTCAAATACCTAAATCCTCGTTCGTGATTTCTGTCGGGCGCGCAGAAGGACACCTTCTCGATAGTCTGATCTACTATCAGTCCTTTTGTTTCTTCTTCCACCACCCTCAGACCGTCGCCGCTCACGTGAAGGACTGCTCTAATTGGACGACGGCGTGAATTCTGGAATATGTAAATAAACATTAAAGGACAATGCCCAAAAGTGGGCCAATTTTATGTCAAAACTATTTGTAATAAAACAACTTAATTTCAGCTGCAGAAAAAAACAGATTTCTCTTAAACCTGGGTGAGAATATAAAAATCGTTTTCTGAATATGAAACGATATTTCTTTGTCTATCAAATTAAGTTAAAACCATCATGACTCGACAACTTTTTTTAAGGGCTCAAACGCTCTAAGAAAATGGGCATTGTCCTTTGCAGATATTGTTTCTTTAGATCAAAGTACGTTTTAATAAGGATGGGATGATTTGACAGATGCTGTCGGTGGAAGATAGCATTTCAAAACTTATTGACGTAATGAAATGTTGACGAAATTTTATTGCAAATTAATCTATCTATACATACAAAAGTTCACATATTTATTTAATGCTTAGACTTGTGGACGAGCTCACAGCCCACCTGGTGTTAAGTGGTCACTGGAGCCCATAGACATCAACAACGTAAATGCGCCATCCACCTTGAGATAGCAGTTCTAAGGTCTTAGTATAGTTACAACGGCTGCCCCACCCTTCAAACCTAAACGCATTACTGCTTCACGGCAGAAATAGGTAGGGTGGTGGTGCCTACCCATGCGAGACAAGTACTCACAAGACGCCCTATCACCAGTAAATGTACCACGACCAGTACCACCATATGTGTATGTTCCCTATTGACTCCGAAATGGCTCGTCCAATCCTCGATGAATTTTTCAGGAAATCTTCAGATCGGTCGAACTGTAGTGATCGGACCTTTTTTTTTATCCTACCTAAGCTGATAAACTTGAGAGGCTATATCAGCGGAACCTTAACTAGTAGGTGAGCTCACGGGGCTCAAACCTGATGAGATCGGACCAAAGACAAATCAGAGATAGGCCAACAAAGCGCCCTGGATTTGATTGGTCAGTAATAATTATCAAAGCATCGTACAACCTATTAAATCGATAAAAACAATTGTTAATGATTTTAAAAGTCACGGTCGCTCGCTTCTCAGTCAATTGAAATTGGAATGTCCTGGTAATACAATGCCTGAATTCATTGGTTCTCGTTAACGATCGAAATGGCAAAAAATCTAGTATCGATCATGTAGGATGTAAATAACCGGTCCGATTCAAGGTCGATCACTTTAAACGGCTATAGATTTTTACTTGCCGTCGCAACTATAGTTTTGAAAGTGTCCAATGTAAAAAAATAATTAATTTTTTTTTTAGAAGACTAGACATTATTGTCAGCCAGTTGTTTTCTTTTATTATTTTTTATATGAAAAAAATTGTTAATTAACCTAAAATGTTAGGATATAGGAATGGCGTTATAAATACAGTTGTATCGCGAAGTGAAGAGACGTCATTCCAACATGTCTTGAGATACCAGCCCGTAGACGTATAATAAATAGATTGAAAACAATCTTATTCTTCGAACTGAGTGTTACTAAATGTTTTGTACTGACCCTGAGAACTTTGAGTGCCTCTTCGCAGACCTGCATACCCCGAGACTCGAAGACCTCGACGCAGCCGAGATACTTGACGGGGAAAGTGCAGGTACCGGCACGAACAGCCGCCTCGTCGGCGTGCCATTGGTGCGGCCGCGCTGATTCCGGCGGCGAGCCCTTGCGGCGTCGGAACGACTCGCGGAAGGAACGTCGCAACCGCTCCATGCCAGCACGCGGCGGCGACAGCGCAGCGCCAGCGCGCGCTCGTCTCAGCGAGCTTCGCACTGACGATTTCTGAAAACACATTAGACACTCTTTACCAATCGCAGCGGATAAAGTGGCGGATGAAAGGCGATTGCATGCAGCAGAGATGCGAACGTTGCGATGGACGTGTGAAGTAACGAGAATGGATAGAATACGGAATGAATATGTTAGAGGAAGTCTGAAAGTGGCACCTGTGACAGAGAGGCTGAGAAATGCGCGTTTGGGATGGTATGGACATGTGATGAGACGAAATGAAAATGAGGTTGGTAAAAGAATGTTAACTATGAATGTGGAAGGACATAGAGGAAGAGGTAGACCTAAGAAATGGATGGATTGCGTGAAAGACGATATGGGTAAAAGGGGAGTGAGCGAAGAAATAGTATATAATAGAAGAGTATGGAAGGAGAAAACATGTTGCGCCGACCCCAGGTGACTGGAGAAGGGCAAGATAATGACGATGATGATACCAATCACAGCAAAATTGAAGTTAATTAAATAATTTTAAAGGTCATATTCTGACGAAAAAACCGTTATATACGAATTTTTGGATTTAAAACATGAAGCTAATCCAGTCGCGAATTAAGGTCAGACGAAGATAAAACGTTACTGTGGATTTTCAAATGCTTTGGGGCACTACTATCTTTTTGCCTATAATCTAATTTGGCGATGGAGGAACATATATTATAATTAATGAAAATAGCGAAGTAGAAATTTAAGTTTCAATTTAACTATTTTTAGATCAGAATCAGCTTTCGAATCTCTTCGAGTTCACTAGGTAAAGCGGTCATAAAAATCTGAAAAGTTTCTATTTACATACACTATTATGAGCAGAATGTAATCATTTGCGTAATGGTGATAAATATATTTTACATATTGGTTATTGACAACACGCTCAGCATTCACGACCGTGTTAGGACATTACAAAATCAATGATTTTTTCTATCGAGATTTTGTAAATATATTTTGGAATAGTCCGAGGCACCTTGTCAAATTATTATCTTATCCGATTGTTGTCATGTGATTATCAAATTTACTGTTTTCAGATTAATCAAGAAACAATAAAGAAATCACGATCGATGTCTACTGTGCCACATTGCACGTTCCTTGTTGTATAAAACTATTCAGAAATTAAAGATTTTAGTCTGGATATATAAAATTACATACATCGTGTTTTTTCTCTGCCGAGAGCTTCGAACACGAAATACGATAAGGAAGGCAACCTATATATGACAATTTATAGGTTACAACCGATTTGTTAATAATAAGGTAATTTTTTTTAGGCAATGGCTCCACCTTATCCTCTGATTCTATAATATACATCATCGCCTTGAAAAGCGATGACACCTTGAATTAATTATTTAAAATATTAATTCTTATTTTTCTCCACCACATCCCACTAGGTGGGGTCGGCACAGCTAACTTTTCTCTTCCATTCGCTTCTATCAGCCGTCAGCTCAACACTTATTCTTCTCTCTCTCTCATATCGTAATTCACACACACGTCTTCTTCGGTCGACCTCTTCCCCCCTCTATATTATTAATTAAAATATTACTTAAAATATTACAATATTTCAAACAATTATTTGAAAATGTAGTTTTATTGATTAATTTAAGTAATATTTATTTGTTTGTATAATTGTAGACTAGTTTTAGGAATTAAAAATGGATGAATGGATATATTAGAGATATATTTTGAGCTTTAAATAAGTTATCATGACTCCATCAACATTATGTTTCGGCACACGTCAGTTTCCTGATGTGATTCTTGATCTGATTCGGTATAAGGAATTCCGAGGTCGAATGCCTGCACATTTCATTTAAATACAGAATATTATGCATAATGATGATATGTTTAGACAGGGCACTCCGATCATTTTGCATAGTGATTTAAAAAGTGTGATTTGGAAATTGACATGTATAGCCGATCTGAATATGTTCAACACTTTATGATCTGCGCTAAAAACGAATAAAATGCATTTGAAAATAAATTTATACATGGTTGTAAATTTCATTAAAATAAATTTGTTTTTAAAAATTATAACAATTATACTAAAATTACGAGTGTTGAATAAGTAAACAAAATCCACATTAGGGCTTGAACAAAATTATGACTATGACAGGTACATATGTGCTTTGTACATTAAAACAGAGTAATCGGCGTGTGACTGATAAATTTATCTATTTCATTAGTTACACGTGTAAGTGGCGAACTCCCATTTAATGTGCAGTCATTGAACATGAACTATTTGTTTTGTTTGATCTCAAACTTGCGAAGTCGTAAAATCAGTATGCTATGCAAATGAAAATCATTTTTAACTTAACAAACTTTGCTACACAAGTTAAGTGCTTTTGTTGGATGTACAGTGAAACTTAGGTGCGTCGACGTCATACATGTTCTATTGTTCAGTGTTTGAATCTAAATACAACAATATTATAACGCCATACTATTGTGTATGTGTACTGACCAAAAAGCTTTTTGTACCAATTTGACCCATTTCCCATTTACAATGCATCTTTTTTAAACATACTTCGAATGCCTCCTAGTTGCCACGTTTGTTTTACACCTCTAAGATATACCTAGTAAGGATGTGTAATAAAATAACATAGCATTGCTAGTTTAGTGCTTATTATTTAAAAAAAAAATTAAAAATGTCGTTTAGGTAAATAAAACGATAGTTAAGAAGTACAATAGCAGTAATGCATTGATGATCACCTAAGCTGATAATTTATACTTTTTCGTAGCTTTTTTTTCACTATTGTAAACAGACAAGCGTACGGTTTTTTTGAAAGTGAGTGCTCGTCGACGCTTATGGACGTTCAAGTCAAGCCATTGTCAATAAATAGTTTAGCAATTCAAAAAAAAAAAAACTATTACTGGTCGTCTGAATCTTACGATCATACAATAAAATGATGAATACGAAGTATTTTCTCAACGTTGCAAAGGGCCGTCAGTTATTGCAACGATGCGTGAGACGTAACAAGAAACAATGACCGAAACGTCAGCAGAGGTACATGCAATAGTATGACTCAGGTAGAATAACGATTATGAATTTTAAATATATTCAAATAGATAGTTACCATTTTAAGGTCAGCATTCTGTGCTACCTGTGCACGATCCAAAGGTTCGTGTGGTGACGATCCTTGATTCCCCATAGTTAAAACTTTAATGACACTTGCTATTTAAATCACATCAAACTAAACTTGTATGTTTTTTACGAGTTCACACCATATTGTTACGTTTTGGAACATTGTAAAAAATATTGAATAAAACAACAGTTTAAAACTCTATTCAATACGAAACACGTTGTCACACATAAAAGTAAGTACGCTCTGTCCTCTTTTGATAAAACACTATCCGTAAAAGATAAAAATTTCGACGAAGTTGAAACTGAACAAACATGGCAAATCCTCCAACAAATACTTTACAACTGCGGAATATTACAACCTTGACAACTAATGCTATAAAAAAGCAATTGAATCTCGTTTTGAGTGAGAGGTCTCATCGTCACAGATCTTGTGATGATACCTAAATTTAATTAACGTCAGTCTAAGGCCGTACATTTAACGGATGCGAGTGCAAAATTAATGATCTCTCGATTTTAGAGAGACGCAACTATACTTCCTTCTGTTCAATTCATCTAAGATGCGGTAGTGACTGTATCACAAATCGTGTGAAATTCGTTAACAATAATTTAAAAACGGGGGTCAACTTTTCCCACAAACGATGAATAAACGCAGAGAGGCGCATTGAACCCGGCACCCGGTCCGAGGGGTGAGAGGGGCTACGTAGGTAGCTGGGAACGACTGCCGATGCCAGCTGAACGTTATTTTTTCCCACAGCATTGTTCTTTGGACCGTAGCGTGATGGTGGCACTTAAACACTTTTTTTTAATTTTTGACACAGCACTGTCTTCGATTCAAAATATAGCACTTCATTTCAGCGAATTATGATTGCATAAATTGCGATGAAATTCGGGGGCCAGGCGCGCACGCCGCTCTTGGAGCAGTCCAGCGTAGTGCCGAGAACTGACTGACTGGGTCGCACACAGGCGGTGCGACGTGAATCGCACGAACGAAACCCTGCATCGAAGTCCCCGTCCCGTCTCGCCCCGTGCCCCGCACTCGACCGGTCCTTTGCATTGTCAACATTGACAACCGGTGAGATCATCAGACGAACAGTCAATCTTCGATTCTTACTGGAGGATTGGGCGTGATATTTAAAAATCATCTGAAGCTGTTCGCTTCGTGAATGTTTATATAAAATACTCAACGGTCGAGGATGAAATATACGGACGAGGACATGGAAGTTGATTTGTGGGAGCTATTTTTGAGAAAACATTTGAAGAGCATGGAATGGCACGTGCGACTGGGACGGACGCAGGTGCAAAAGGCACGTTACTTGATGAACATATGGCTCCCATGCCCCCATACCATACGCCGTTGTTATGAAGTAGAACGTGCCTATCCGTTCAAACAATTTATTTTTAGCGAAAATGAACATCTGCCTTTAACAACACGAGCATAAAGGTAGGACTTGCATACTGCACTAATTAGTAGATATGCTGTTTTCATATATATTTAATTACCCTAATATTCTCTGATACAAAAAAAATCGGTTGTTTCATTATATTTATATATTTTGTACCTTTTGGGTCACCGATAATTATCGTTCAGTTTAAAAGTATTCCGTTTCTGACTATCTATCGTTTCGTTTATGAGTCATCGGTCACTACATACCAAACACGACTAGTCATTAAAAGCTCAGATTACATAATTAGGTATAATAAACCCTCCCAAGCCGAGAATGAGCAGCGATGAACATTGTTGACGATAAAAAAATATCCATAGTGAGCGAGTGGCAATTCAAAAAACGAATGTTTTTCATTGTGTAAACAAATTAACGGAAATATTGGTTTAAATTTTGCTACCGGAAAACACAATACGCCTATGGGAGACATATGTGCCTAGAAATTGGTTACAGTAATCTATTCAGTTATAATCAGTATAGGTTACTTCCATATCAAATGGAAGGAGGAGGATGGCGTCGAAATCGTTAGAATACGACTTAATATTATTTATAAATATTTTATTTTAGGTTTTTTTCTTTTAATATTTAAAAGATAAGATGAAAAACATATTTTTACGTTTACTAGTGACAGTATCTATGTAGCCACAAGATGCGAGATATTTCAATGTATAAATTCATAAATAGACATCAATGTCATTTTCCGTTACGTCGACGCTTTTTTTCTTATTCATTTCCGTAAACAACCAATATTTTTGTAACAAATATGAAAACTAGCTAATTTATTTTCATGTTCTAAATCATTTTTGTATTCATCTATGTACATGCCTTTATTTTCGAGAAATCTCTATTTATGCATAAATTTATCTCACGAGGAAAAACAATGAAATATTACAAATTTTAAACTAAACTACAAAACTACGTAATAATATTCACTAGTATATTAATAAATAATATAACACATATATTAAATTTATTAATAATTTGAAAAGTATTCTAATTCTAATAAGTTTTAGAAGAATTCATATTCTTCTAAAAGTTATTCATTTCTGTTTTATATTATTTACACGCAATGTCTTCATTATTGACGTAGACAGGTATACAATGTTACGAAACCATGACCCATCAGCTGTTAAGCGCTCTTATCGGAATTTATATACGTGAAAATCAATACGTGAAAATTTAAACAGCGCCGCCCACCACGCGACACATGAGGTTTTCATTCCTTCTTCAAGCGAAGTATGAAAGAAATCTCCGGCTTAGCTGCGGTATTGCTGTTGTCCATGGACGCCAGTGACCAACCTCCAAGTAATCCATGTGCTGATCAGTTTCAGAAGGTAACAAAAAAACCGTAAAATCGAAAGGTAAAACTTTTTATTATGCTTATGATAACTGCAGGCTGCAGGCTATGTTTGTAAAGTAATTTGGTACTGTGAGAGAATATTATTTGATTTATAAGATAATTTTATGTGATACCTAATAGTCTGTTCTTTTTTTTTTTTTTATTGCCCTTGTAGACAGACGAGCATACGGCCCACCTGATGGTGAGTGGTTACCGTCGTCCATGGACTTCAGCAATGCCAGGGGCAGAGCCAAGCCGCTGCCTACCGCTTAATACTCTCCACAAGCCTCGTTTGAAGAAGGACATATCATAGCGCTCGGGAAACACCGTGGAGGGGAGCTCATTCCATAGCCGGATGGTACGTGGCAAAAAAGACCTCTGGAAACGCACTGTGGATGCAGGTAGTATGGATGAACTCTACTCCGGTGGCGGGCGATGCGATGGTAAAAACGAGAAGATTATAAGTCAAAAGATGCACATAAAGAACCCCGGTGACCTCCAGCAGCTAATAGCACATTCTCATCTTCCATTCATAGTAGTAGTAGTAGTATTGCCATACCAATTTCTAACCTTACCAGCCAATTCCAGGCCTACCATTCGGTCATAAATAACGATACAGTCAAGATAAACAGTCATTATTAAGTAATAGGATAATTAACGGTAATCGTTCACGAAATTAATATTTTTAAGTTTACAATCACAGCTGGGAACCATTACCATTATTATTGAAACTATTTCAACGATATTATGCTTTATACTTCACTATTGTACTTTCAAGGACTATCAGATAATTCCCATTTGTTATTACGTGATAATTTACGCCGGGGCAGTGGTGTGTTTAGCACTTGCGCAGGCGCGTGTGGCTCTTACATCAGTCTACACATCTGTTCATATTTTACAGTCCATGTTTACGGAACAGCTTCGCGGCTCGATGTCTGCTAAATTATCTGGCATTGTACTAAAATACATCGACCAGTATAAAATTTGATGTGGTAAGTCATAATATAATATTTTCTATCTATTATTCGTTCACCTATAGCTTACTTCTAAGTAAATGTTATGTATTTTTGCACTTCTATTGTATGCGGTGTTGGTTCGAACTATGTTTAATGAGTACATGTAAATTCATCTAATATTTAAAAAAAAGAATGTTTGTTTGTTCGAGATCTATGATTTTAACATAGATGATTGAACTGAAATTCTGTACAATTAGGGAAATGTTTTTGTAATAATGGGCATTGACGTAAATATGCCTTAATTTAAGAAATTATTTATAAATTGTTTAAATACTCACTGTAGTTATTTTTAGTAATAAACGGAAAATTAATTAAAAATTGCCTTTCAAGGTTATGATATCAGCAGTGGATTAAAGTAGAGCCTGAAAAAGTGGTGGTCTCCAAAATTCTTTACCTGTGCTATGGCTGTAGTTCAACCTTCTACAATATCACTCGTTCATATAATAAGTGATTCGTATTTCTTATACGAACTAAGTATAATCTCTCTGAAAGCATCTTTGGATTGTTATAAACCGCATTAATAGAAAGTCGTAACAGTATTCAATTCATGACTACCTTCATGTTTTGAGTTGAAATAAAAAAAAGTGTTTTGAGGATAGAACATAGATCACACAACACATTTGAGTGCATAGAAGTAATATTTAATAATTAATATTTAATAAGTAATAATAATTAGTATTATTACTCTAAGTTTGAGTGGTACACAGAACATAAAAAAATACAAGCTAAAGTACCTATCTATTTGAGTAAATGACGTTATTTGAGGACAAGCAAAGGTCAAAGATTTATTTAAAATACCGGTAAATAACGAGTATTTATTATTAGCAATTGATTTATATGTTTCAATTCAATTAATATAAATGTATTTGTTAAATATTTTTTATTATTACTTATAAAGAAAAATATTAGCAGAATTAAGTACTTTTAGAAATGACATTGCATTAAATGTTTCGAAATTTAACGTACAATAATAAGTAGGTATCTTAATATTATAGAATCGCTCTAGTAATCAGAATCGCTTAGGTGTAAAACCTTGACTGATTCGGTCGAGGTTGTAATTCCAATCGCTCGTTGCGTCAATAAATTCTCAGAGAACTTCCAAAAGTTTTTAGATCTGATAAATCACCGGGGGCAGTGACACAGTTCCGTTGTCAGCAACCGTAAATAAATGCCTCCATTATTATTGTCTGTCTGTAATAATTTCCCCAAAATAGTACCGTTAGGTTCATGACACTTTGAACACAATAGCTGTACCAAAAACGTTACTTAATATAACAAACACAGCATAAAATACCCTTTTTGTAAACGATTGGTGCGAAAATCGATATTAAGTATACCTACCTATGTACTTAGAATACCTACCTACTGAAACGACCTATTTTTATGAAACTTTATTTTCCTGGCACGTGATGAATAGAAAATAGACGTTAATTGTAAGACAATAATTAATCATGATCGTCACGACAAAAATTTTAATAGGTAAAAATATATTTGCACACAAAGCAACGGTTAATCTTTATATGGCGTCGCTTTGATGTGCAATTTATTTTTTATAACGGAAATTGTCCCATCTCTGACCAAGGCTGTCGCGGGTTAACAGCTAGCATGCCAACTTAGACTGGCTTGGTCTACTTGAAGCGTAATATATTTTGTGTACGTAACATAACAAGCACGTTTGTAACACAGCGGATGTCATATGCCTGTGACTTGATTGCGAATGTGGTAGTCGCTAGAGACCTCAGTCGCAGCAGTTGACAGAAAACTCTTCGATAAGGAGGGTCTTCGTTACTGATATTATAAAAAATATATATAATATTTATGTGTTAAATTCATGTGAACTCAGCCTTATGTTATAGACCCGGGAAAGGGGCCAATTGATATTTGCAAAGTTAATTCATCTACAGCGACTTAAAATTTATCGAAGAAACATTTTCATCAATCTATGCCCAAAAGTATTTGTACAAAAACTCACGATTCCCAGTCCGGAAGATATTATTCAAGACGGCGCAATACGGGGACGAAGCGATGACAGCTTGGACGATGTTTAGTTGGAGAAGATTGTACAATCGAAGACTTGGTGAAGTGAGCGATGACTCTCATGTTGAATTGCCGGCAGATACAAGACAATTAGTTTATAACGTGTATATGTACTTTAGCAGAAAACCCGGAAGAAGTGCGAAAGTGGTCCTGTCAAAGACAGCTAGTGCTACAATGCTACCGCGTGATATTGTTGCTGAAATCATAAGGGATAAATACCGCGAATGAACAGTAAGCTTTAGAATTTACGCGTGTAACTAAAACAATTTAGATACGTAATTTATTTGTTTTGAATTGACTAGACTTAAATAAAAAATTAGAATTAGAACTTTTGAATTTAGTTTCGTCTCTTCGCATGTAGCCTATCATAGCCCTTTGTAGAAGTGCTAAATTGTTTCTTATTTACTATTTTAAAATTACCATTCACCGAAAATGCTATTATAGTTTCACGAAATTTTTAACTTAGATGTCCTGTAGTTTATTCTGGGCTACATTATTTATTTACTGCTGTAAAGAAGGATTTAAAGATGAGACTTCTATTAATATACGAGAGCTCATATAATTTATTTTATTATATAAACATTAAATGAATCACGACAAGAGTTT